AAAGTCGATCTTAACCCCTAAAACATGTAGAATTACTCTGAACACCTAGGTCCAAATAATTATAACTGTCACAAACTCTCAGGTCCCCGTGGTTTAAATAGAACATATTAATTACTTTCCATCGGAAGTGAGAGCACATCTGTATACATGTTAAAATTTCATTACTTGAATTACCTGTTATTGTACGACACGAGAGTGATTAGAGATTTATTATTACGGGGACGCTTTACTGGGATTACAGGAACGCATCTAGTTAGAAATCAACTTTTTTATTTTCTTTGTAGTTGATATTTCTTATTTGTCGGAGATCGCATACTGCAACCTGGTTTTAAGTTCTAAATATTAAAAAGGGAGAATTCCTTTTAAAATATGATATATTTTCTTTGCGAACTTGATTAACATATATCCGTTCAATATATTATACATCTGTTTTGTACGAAGGTAAGATGTGTGAACACCAAGGTCAGATTGAATTACGATAAACAAATCTGTAGATTAATTAAACCCGATATGTGTAATACCCCAAAACTTTGGCACTGCTCGACATGGCGAAGTGCATGTTGTGTCAGATATTGGGCGAGTAACCCGGGTGTAGACCGCCAGTCTGGGCCGGGGGGATGAGACGTGTTACAACCAAACCCGAGAGTGTGAGTACCTCGACCCTGACAGCTCGGCTAGGCCGTCACCCCGCCATAGATTGGGCACTGGTGTCAGCCCTCACACACAGCAAGGTGCGCAAACACGCTGAGTGGGGAAAATCATCCGCTAATTCGCCGACATTAACGACCAATGATCGAGCTAATGACATTATAATGAAGTGATAAACTAACACACTGAGTTGTATCAAAAGTGAAAACAATACTGTCCGCAAATCCGGCCATTGTCCAAACAAAGTGGCCGGGCGCCGCCTGTCAATGTTGAGTATTCAATAATTCTGATCGCCGTTGTCCTGCTTGCACGGCCTTTGTTTGCCTGTTTGGGGCTGTTGATGGTCCCTTTCTCTCGGAGAAAAAACAGTTCGTCTGAGCAAGGGAGTTGAGGTGTAGGGAATGACAGGGTCAGAGTCAAGACTCGATACAGATCCCTAAACCAGGACGACCAGCTGTCTGTGCTCACCACACAAACAGGCCATTGCTTACGTTATCCGCACAAACAAAACATTAACCCAGTAATTACACTAATGATTGTATCTATGGAAACATGTAATAGGTAATAAGCTGTCTTCTCCATAGTACCGCCGGGCATGTGAGTAGTCTCCCCTGTCAGACCTCTCCATTTTGAACCCTCGAGCTAAAAGGGCTGGGCATCTTTAATGTGTTTTGTCCAGACAAAGTCAACATAAAAACAGAAGACGTTATTCTGGTATAGTGTATATAGTAGGTAGGCCCGGAGCTCCCTCAGACGACTCCCACAAACGTGTGGGTGACGTAACAAAGTCAGCACCCTTTGGCGCGAAACCTGTTTTATTTCAACAGATCGATTTGTTTTGATCGATTATGTGATTTGTTTATGTTTACCTTCAAAACCAGAATTTGTGAAGATTCCACGCCTGCCTTGTTAGAATATGGTACAACCATCATCATGTCATATTGTTTTGACGCCAACGCTGCCAAAATTTCCAGTTGAGGCATCTGGATATGTGTGTACCCTGATGCTTAAAACAACGTCACTACACCAAACAGATGTTGGTATCCTTACACAAATCACAACACTTCCCCTGCATGTAAATACTAACAACATGAAGCACTATATAAATATATATATATGTGTGTGTGTTTAATCATATTTACGAAGACTATATACACTTCTGTATATAATTTGATGCAGCGATTTATAAAGATTAACCAAAATATAAATTATCGGCCTTTTTATGTGAAATGAGGAATTTAATATTGAGGCATGTCCCTTCTAACAATCGTTATGTGATTTTTACATAAAAAGTACATTTAGCAGGTCATCTTCCCGTGATATATCCATATTTTTGACAATATTAATTGATAATGGATTAAATGAAAAATTCAAATATTTCAATCAGTTTTAATTTATTCATTTCTCATATATTTCTATCTATGTCCATGCTGTACAATTTATACATCTATATCTTAACCAAAATTCGTAACGATATCTGAGCAAGGTTTCCAGAAACATACACAACCAACCATTTGTATTATGTACGACTAAGCTGTCAAGTTTTGACACTCGGTTACTTCCCTTTGTATGAGAAATCCACAAAAGCGCTTGCTTGCTGAATACAGATTTTATTTCACACGAGAAGTCTCAAAATCGCCATAAAAAATAAACGATAAAAATATTTGTGCTAACAGGATTTTGTATTTAAAAAAATGGCCTGTGTACGTGTATCGATTTAGGAGAGAACTTGTTTGGATGCTACACCTGTTTTTTTACTACGAAATATGATATCGTATTATAGTACTGATCAGTTCAAATCAATACGGAAGACAATGGGGTTAGAAAACGAATCGCTAAAAACATGTTCCTCTATACAGGTGCTTTCAAAAGGCCTGTTTTGTCCGGATAAAGTCAATTTATAAATCATAGAATACCTATTTCACACATTGTTTTACACGTGTACGCTCCTCCGTAAATATGACTGTTAAACAACATAAACGTGGGTTTGTATAGGATCACTGTCCCGTGATGATGTGGCTTACGACCAGGCATCAGGAGAACACATAACGCTATGCTATGTCCAGTATAAATATTTTACTCTATTTACTTCGTTGATAACAATACTGTGTTAGGACGCGTCACATCTGTGCGCCACATCCGACACATGCATAACTAATAAACACGCATTGTTGTTATTCAAAAACATACAAAACCTATCTGGATAATTCCGTAAAATACGATACAAAATTCTTTTTCATGTTTTGATAATATTTATAACTATGAAAAGCACGGGAAAATAATTGTTGAAACACACGAAATAGCCTAACTTTGATATTTTACTGTTCTTTATTATTTATAAATTTATTTTTACATTCGTTAAAATAAAAAGCACGTTGCTTTCAGAAGCACCGTGTGACGTAAATATATATATACTCACGTGCTACGCACCTGTCCTCATAACACCTTTTTTCCGAGTACACTATCTTTACTCACCCACACGACTAGTCACCTAAGCGTGCTAAAATCAACCCAATTATCTCCATCCCCATCACAATTATCACTATCTAGTGCGGATAGGTGTAAGTATTACAACAGCATTGACTCTCTCACTCTATACCTGGAGAAGGTGTGAGAGCTACAGCCTCTAATTCCCCACCCCCTGGAATAGCCAGACATACAGACAGCCCCTCCCGGTGGTATCTCGGCACCCGACAACACCAAACTTGTTTCGTTGTATTTGGCGACGATATTAATTAGTGTAGATTTGTATTTTTCTACTCGGGTACAATTCTTAATTGCACTTTAACATTTGTCCATCGCTATATGTGGTTTCCGTGCCACGCTACCCCCCATCCCTACAGTGGTCATCGACTCTCAGGCGATCTCTTACTATATGGTCGTACTACTGTTAAGTATCCGCTTCGTCATGTGTTTTTTTTATAGATGTCATTTTTTATTAATAATTTTATCGACATCTATTATTTTTTCAACATCCCATTTAAATGATCATCGAAGTATTTTAAAACGGCTATTTTTTTTACCCTTATATCGTATCCCCCACCCCACCTGGACTACCATTTGATTTATCTTACAGTTTTCATTAAAATGATGCAGTTGTATATTTAAAAAAATAAATTAAATGAAAATGAAAATGAAAATGAAACACGAGGAACAATAAAACCGATATTGCTTATACTAAATTTATATTTATATCAAAACAATATTATCCTGTGCTTGCAGACGTGTGTTAAATTCGATTCTGCGATTTGGTTTTATATCAAATTATATTACATACAATTTAACTGAATAGATATAAAACGTAGACAAATGGCATTTATTTCATGATAACCTCGCTTCATTTAGATAATTAAGTGGCGAGGTGAAAACAAAATACAAAATTGAAATACGTACTTTCAAATATCCAAAGACCAGGATCCAGATTTTTATCTTTATACAGAAAGTTTGTTAGAATATAACTTATAATCGGTACAAGCACGAATTTTCAACACTGCAGACATGAAATATTTGCTCGAGCGTTCTGTCTGTTCGACTACTCGCCACTATAAAAATTTCCTTTATTAGTTACTTCTAAACCGGCGCGATTTCTTATGTATTAACTATAAATCTCACTGCATCTGGCGCCGGCGTCCGCTTGTATCCCGTTTTTCATCAAGTGTTTCATCTGACAAGTACACTACTCCCGCACTGAAACACCGCCCTATTCGCAAACTAACCTTAATACATATTTATCTTACTTGTTCCGTAAAAGTAACATATATTCCCTACACGTCATCCTTGAATGAATTTTCTTAATTTATTTTCTGTATTTTTCTTTTACTGAATTATTTATAATATTACGGCTCTTATTTACAAATTCATCGCTTACTATTTTTTGTTTTCATTGAGTATTTCTCTATTTGGAATTTCACACATTTGCAATGATTTCGCATTGTTATAAATCATTTTATTGAAATCGTAAAAAATACCCTCTGGGTACTACTGCCAAGATTTAATAAATAATCAATTTTAGAAATGTAAGTTTTTCTTTCTCTACGTTGTAAAGCCGTTAGCTAATTTTACTGTTTCTCTATTGTGGCTAAGAAAGGGGGCGGGGCCTAGCTTCCTTATCGTAACATCTCTATTACAGTGACACATAAGACAAAGAGCGGACATGCCTCGGCTGTCAGCGACACTCCGCTAGCAAAACTGATAGGCCTATAACACGCCTTATTAGACTTCTGATTGGTGGGCGGAATCAGGCAGGCCAATCAGATCGCACGAAACATAATAGAATTACACTTGTCATACAGATTTGCCGGCGTAGCGGTAGAAGGTTGATATAATTATAAATAGTTGTGTTTCCGATTAGACTAGCGTATATCTGTTCTTACGACACGGCCGCCCAGTGTTACCGAGTGATTTACCCTGGACTTTATATATATATATAGTGTGTGGCCAGATGTAGCCGTGTGTTTACTCCAGCCGTGTGTACTGACCCGTTTAGTCACCCTCGCAGTGTTTACCATGCGATTTTAAACTGAAAATTAACTTTATTTATCTATGAGATATTATTTAACAGATAAATTCGAAAGAAAAAAATTGCCAAATTTATTCCAATGATTTATACAGGAGGTGCTCCGGAGAGCAGTATGGCTTATAATCCATTTTTTCTCCAAAGACCTACCGACTATAGTTCTTTGTTGGCTCAGCAGCATTACTTGTCAAACATAGCCCTTCACTCTCCTAACTATGCAGCATCCTTACTACCCAAGCTACAGCAGAGTATGGGGCGCGGTCCCCTCACCCCCGGGGATATGTTCCATCCTCTCCATCCCCGCCAGCTCCGGAGTCTGGAGCCCCCGGAGGCTGATGTCCAGGACGACCCCAAGGTGGAGCTGGAAGGCAAAGACCTTTGGGAACAATTCCACAATATCGGCACCGAGATGGTCATCACAAAGTCCGGCCGGTAAGTTAGAAACAGAATGGGTGGGACTTATCAGTTTAATACGCTGGGGTTTGTAAATCTTTTATTGTTTAGCATTATACGAATAATTTGTCTATTTATATTTTATTGCCATAATTCAGTTTAATATCTGACATAACATTGTATGCTCTTCACATTTTCTACCTAAACAAGTTCAGCATTTTTTCACACTAGTAGAAAATAGTTTTACAACAATTCTGTTCTCACGAAAGCAATTTTCAACCGAGACATAGTGCAATCATCTTGGAAAATAACACAATAACTGTCATTTTATTTCTACAGTGTGCTGAAAAATATCATAAAACATCTTCAGTATTAACTTATAATGTTATTTAATTAATACCATAAATTTTAAACGCTAACTTACAACTTTAATTCAGATTTATACATGTATTATATAAAGGTAATAAGATGACAGATGGTGTACGTTTGGTTAGTGCCCCTCTGGTAAACGAGATAGAAATCGGCCCAGCCTCTCTGTCCGGCACACACTAACACATTTACAACAGAACATGACACCGTTATACATCAGCCATTTCCAAAGGGACAACTCATCTAACTTCTTTTTCCAAGTTGTTATCACTGTTGATTTTAGCACTTCATTTTTTATAAGAGAAATATTTTTTTACATCAATTTCTTCAAGATCTTTAAGCGTATAATTTGACAATTCAGATAAAAATCTTACACGTTTATTAATAATCGAAAAGTGAACGACTATGAAATTCGAAAGCCGTGACATTTATATTTAATAAGGGATAAATGGATTTCAAAAGAAAATAAATGGAAAGGAACCAAGCGTGTTTTCATGCACGAAAATGTGTTTAGAAAATAATAAGGTTATAAATGTGTTCGTACTTTCTGCGATTCTAAATTCCTACGTCAGTCTTTTATTTGTTTTCTTTGTTGGATTTCATGCAAAATATATGCTTCAAGTTGTGTTTAAGTTAAATATTCTCTTCAATATTTTTAATGGAAAATGAAATACAACACTCAGAATACATGTAGCCATAACTTTTAATCAATGTCAAATATTATTTTGTATCTTACAAATATACTAAATATTAAAAGCAAATATTGGCGTGGTTCTTACAACATTTAATTGAATCACAGACAAACTGTAAAGTTTGACAAATCTAACCTAAAACTATAAAGTTATATGTAACTAGTACACAACTGGTGCAGTGTTTAACAGACACGGGACTACTATAGATTATAACATGTCATGATTATATCTATAAATTTCACATTTTAACCCTCTCTTAGAAGCGCCAAGTGTAATTTTGATAGCATCAGGCTAAACAGGGAGGGGGCTAAGAGAGGAAGAAGTGTGAGTCCCGTTGATACACAAGTAACACGCCCCACAGGACGATAACCTCTAAGTCTACTTATATACTTAACCCCACCAACTTGTAACCCATTTAGATTTTCCGTGTTAACTTTTTAATTCAATTCGTTTCCTTTTATTATTAAAATAATAAGACATAAAACAGAGGTCGTATTTCATGTTTTGTTATATTTGAATTATAATTGAATCGTTTGTTTAACAGTTTTACTCAAGAAAATAGTAAATCAAGAGGGTATCATATAGACACTAAAACCTACACGTTTGCCTTCTCTTTTGTTAAAATAGATTCATAATTGGTTTTAAATCAGTAAGAACAAAATTTATTTAAAATATTTATTTAAATATTTGTTAGCTCATCCTATTAGGTAAGTTGTCCTAATATGGTCATAAAACTTAATTGGTGACAAGTGAAGAAATGACACCTGCAGTGTAGACGGAACGTCTCGATGTCAACGCATTGAGTCGCTTCCGTGTTCATCATTAATGATAGATATTGAAATCAAAATTCACGTCAATTTACCTGTATTTCACGTCAATTTACCTGTATTCTTAGTCAGGTGTCGTTGTCGCCTCTTATTTGTATAATGACAAGTAAACTCATGCAGATTGCATTGTTTTCATGGTGACATTTATAATGATTGGCCACTATTGCAGAAGGATTGGTAGATTCTCAATCTGTGTTTAACAATCCCTACAATAATTATTTAATTATCGACGTTCTGAGATTCAAATATTCCTCAGTAATTTTGAATTCTCCAGTATCTATATATAATCATATATAATAATATTAATTATTATTACTTTATTCCTTTTTTCTCAATTATTGCAAATCTAATACCGGTTTGTCATAGAACGAGAATTTATTTCTTTGAATATTTGTTTTATTACGCCTATTCTGCTATCATTTCTGATAGGATATTTTTAATTTACTTTACATCTATTTATCTTTTGTTATTTAAGTTCATTTTATTTAAAATTGTTTGTCATCATTATTATAATTTTTAAAGAAAGAAATAATACAAAATTCACTAAATCCGAATATATTTAAATTTTTAAAGATAAAATAAGAAACATTTGGCAACTTTGTTTGATTTGTGTCACTATTTTGAAATTCTTAAGTTATTACACTGATCCCGCAAAATAAAAAAGAGAAGAATTGTTATTTCGTTTAGTGTGGCGCTGTCGTAATCGCTTGATCTTCAAAAGTATTTCTATTCCCTAAAAAAAGGGTCTAGTTTGACTCCTCTGTCCACACGTTACCTTTACGTTTCTGCTAATCAAGCAGAAATTCTTGTGTGTACAACACTCCTTACCCAACCACCTCTGGCTCTGGCAAACTTCCGAATATCAATTCAAGGTTAGCGTTACAAAATTTTTCGCTTGATTGTTTTGTTTACACATAAGTTTGTTGATGTTTGACTTTTTCAAACTCGAATAACCGTGACATTATTACAAAGAAAAAACTATTTGAATTTGATATTCAAAGGTTAAGATGTTACGATTATAGGATTTTGTTTTCTTAATATCATCAATTTTACCAGTTCGCTTTTAGTTTAATAAAATTAAAATAGAATATTCTGCCTGAAATGTTCTGTTGATTATTGTAACATTAAATTAGAAATGTTTGTCGAGAATACCACACTTATGTATTTATGCCAGTGCTTTTACTGTTTACACTTTATAATGGTTGTAAGTTTTATTTACTAAGAAACAAAATAGGAAGAAAAATACATACAAACGAATATTTAAAACTAAATATGAAAATATGGAAATTTGAGTTTGAGATAATTAATTTGGACTGATTGTTGTACAATAGAGGATGATAGAGTTACGCCATACTTATACAGGTACACACGATAGCTTCTGTAACAAGATAAGGGACAATAGAGGGATCTGCGGATTGTCCGGATCTCTGACACCGTAATCCTGTTCTAACATAAACTCATTATATACGCCTCTCTTACAAGAAGTACCCCCTGGATTAGTGTCATGTTAACATATGTACCAAACCGCCCTACTCCCCCCTCCCATACTTGAGGTCGCCCCCACCCTCACGCTAATTGAACATGCGACGTAATTTCTCAGGTACCCGGCATATTTGGATTGTGTATGGAGTACATGTGTCGTAATCAGGGACAGCCTCGGTCACTGGAAAGTGCGGAGTGTTTGTATGGGTTTAGCGAAGTAGCTCTCGACAAGCTTACGGGGATAGGATAGTCTAACTTAGCCGATTTACGGCAATGATATAAAACTCGTCTGAGTACACAGCTAGCACATAAAACTATCATCACTGCTCTTCACGAATTTTGATAATTATGTCAGCAGTAAACTTTTAAATTGACGGCTTATCTTCCGAGAGAAAATCAGGTAGAGCAATAAACCTGGGAAAGGCTAATATCACCATTACACTGGCGAATCGTCCAATAAAGTCGTGGGATTCCAATTGTTTTGTTATTAACATCACCGTATTTAATTGATATATCATCGAGTCAGATTGTTTCCTATATTCCCTCTATACATTTTTTAAGTTTTAAGCTATAGAAGATAATGTGATTTATGTAAATACGACAGCCTCTTATTTTTATATATCTTATACACATTTTTGTTTGTTTTGTTTTATATAAAAAAAAATTTTTTTATATAATTTATAATATGTTTGTTTTTTCATGGACGCATGATTCAGAGATTCAAATCAAGATTCATTTTATTTTCACTAAATGCTAATTCTCTTTTTGATTTCTTTCTTACAGGCGGATGTTTCCTCCATTTAAAGCCAGAGTATCTGGACTAGACAAGCGAGCCAAGTACATCCTACTGATGGATATTGTTCCCGTGGACGACTGTCGCTACAAGTTCCACAATTCCCGCTGGATGGTGGCCGGAAAAGCGGACCCGGAAATGCCTAAACGAATGTACATCCACCCCGACTCCCCCAACACCGGTGAACAGTGGATGCAAAAAGTCGTTTCCTTTCACAAACTCAAACTCAGCAACAACATATCTGACAAACATGGGTTTGTAAGTATCGTAAGCATCGTTCTAATTTTATTTTTACTTACCCATATTTACTTACCCCCTTTTTTACCCCATCTATTCATTCATTAAGAATTACTTTGTAGTAAATATACATAATCTCTGAGGCGTTTTGGGCTGTATCACCTTGTCTGATATATTGGTGGTTGTTAGGACCTTACCTGTGGCCTTCGGGATACACAGGTGTGATATGGACATATGGTGCTAGGTCAGCGATTACATGGCCTTTATTACCTATATGTATAATTGAGTGTTTAGTGATACTTTCACGCGCATCCTCACGTGAGGAAGATAATTGTGGTAATATTAGGGTACGACGTGCTATAGTGTTAAACCCATTGGCTATTTTATATCGATGAATTACCGATGAGCTGTTCACCTGATCAGCGAACTTTAGCGAGCATCTGCGGGTTTTGGTCCTCACACCTCAGTTCTGACTCTACCCGGCCACATTAGGGAGTCAGTGGTCCTAATCGAATTGTCAAACCTAATTGCCGTGTCCTACGTTATAAATGATAGCCGTACATCGCCATTGTATAACACAGGGAAACACTTACAAAATTAGACCGGCATGGCCACCCGACACTTCCGAGTTCATTACTTAATATAGTAATTGTATCGTTCTGTGAACGGAACATCCAGCCAAACGTTGTAAGGCTTTCTTCTTTCATGATAAAATGACATTACAGAGTTATAAAAGTCCATCTGCTGTAAGTTTCAGATGTCGCGAGGTTTGTCACTTTACTGGACGAATGAAAGCGGGAAAGTCTGTCGAAAAAAAATATAAAAATAAATAAATACATAAATACAAAAAGATGAAATTCAATGAACTAATGTTTTATTATGAGTAGAGCCGACTTCTGTGATAAGACTAGCCAAGCCTTTGTGATTTGAATTGTCGCCATGTGTAAGCACTTTGGAAACTGTTTCTCTCTTGCCGGCTTTCCCGTCCCGCCGGAGTAGACTTCCCCGCTAGGGATCCTGCAAGTTTTGCCCATAAACGCTCTATAAGTATACGAATTGTTCGCTAACTTTCACAAATTATTGTCTGTCTCCTTTCGAACATCCTTCTAGGCGATAACGCGACGACCGATTTAGGCGTGGAATTCGTTGATTTAGGGATAAAACTGGGGTTTGATGTGCGCGAGTTTGGCGCCGACTTCTGGTCCTAATCGCTGGTCAGTGTTGTCCTATCACCACCTAAGATCTATTGCCTAATTTCGGTTGGTAAGGAGTTGGACTCAGTTGATGACAGGACGCACCGACTTGTGATTCGGTGACAGATCCAATTAGCCCTCGACAGGAGAATGGAACGACTCATGCACACTAATAAGAACGTATCGGGAACTTATGAATTTAATTGTCATTTGTCAGTATGAATACGCTCAGTATTATCTGTGGGCGCGCAAGGCTCAAAGCATACCATGTCTTTATACAATTACAGGGACTATTTGCATCTGTCTCAATGATTTTCCGTCATGATCAAAGGGGCGGAATCATAAACCGATATTGTTTGTTAAAAGTCAATCGTAGAGGCGCAGTAATTTGAATTTCATGTGGTGGTTATTTAGCCTGGGTAGAATGGGGGATTTACTGGATTAGATAAACCCCGATAAAGCAATCACTACGCCTGTGACTTTCTCCGAGTTGGCAGAAAACCTCCAGGGATAGGGGCTTATTTATGTAATTTGTCGACACGACAGTCGCCGTACGTTTTTAAGGGTGATTAGTTGCCGTTTCGATCTCCAAGACGCTTGTCGCCTCTTCATCGCTACTTCGCCAATTATAATGTACATACCAGCCTTACAGTACGCCGTGGAAGGCTTAATACAAATCAGTTCACTTATCATGAAAATCAAAAGCTCCTTTGAAATTATTGTTAACTTGTTCTATATGTAAATACTGTTGTAAAATAACAGATACTATTTTATGTAAATGGATAGAAGTAGTTTGAAAATTTACACTTAAGAACAAATAAACCGTCCCTGTTAGAAAACAACAGAAATGTATTACATAATTTTACAACGAACATATTTATTTTTATTTTTCAGACCATACTGAATTCCATGCACAAGTACCAGCCTCGTTTCCATTTGGTGCGCGCCAACGACATCCTCAAATTACCCTACTCCACATTCCAAAGCTTTGTCTTTAAGGAGACGGAATTCATTGCTGTTACTGCCTACCAAAATGAAAAGGTAAGACGTCATCCTATTTGAAATAACTGCTTCCTTTTTTTGTGTAATAATTGTATTTTCAAGACAAAAACTCTATTGCCGAAGGTCTCGGTGTATGACTGGCTACTGCCTCACCACTACGGTGTTGGTGATGGATTGGGACTAAATGGTTACAAGAAGTTTAACTCGACAGAACCCTGTTATAATCAAGTGATAAATATGATAGGCGTTCGTATTGGTGTCATTGGAAGCGATAACACAAGAGTTTGTGATGATTCTCCTGTCTCGTAAGGTCATGATAATCTCCGAACTGGGGGATATGGTGCTCAGGGCTCGTTAAAGTGAAACTGAATCAGTTAGGTCGTGTTCCTCCGACCAATATGTGTTTGTTTTCCTGGAGTCCCGGGGGAGACCGATGGTCACCCCTAATTACAGAAATGACCATTGAAACGTATTTACACACTTGAGAACAAGGGGGAAATTTGTGCCCAGATGTGAGGTGGGATGCAGCACACCACCCCTCTTATCTCATTACAACTGTTGCGGAGGTTGTTATCTGATAAATGCACGCGCTTGGCCATGCACGTGTGCGAGCTGTATATACAGAAGGCTAATACGACCTTTTATATCATAATCACCCAACAATTAGCACTATTCGGGAATGTGGCGAGTAAATCTAGCGCTAAATTTGTCAAATTACCTCGAAATGTTTCACTTCCATGGTACCAGCGTTCGACAGTTAGATCCCAATTATACGGGTGTTTACGTGTGGGGAACAGTTATCAGTGATTTTCACAGTTTAACGAACTACGATTTTTTTAATTGAATACGTTAATAAGGCCTTATAACATTACGAATTTAATCTAAAATTGCTGTTACATTTTTTATATGAATTTTCTATGTTTTGTAGATAACACAGCTGAAGATAAACCACAACCCCTTCGCTAAAGGCTTCAGGGATACCGGAGGCGGCAAACGGGAAAAAAAGTAAGCTCAACACAAACATACATGTAGAAAATAGAGAGCTGAGAACAATTGAAAGTTTAGTAACGCGCTGCTTTAAACAAGAATAATAAAAATTGATATCTTACTAACAGTATAAAACAGGTACTGGTTTATATTCAAAACTTTATTTATACTTATCTGAATGGTGGAAAATTTGAAGTGTTTAACAGTTAAAGAGCGTTTTTTATTATTAAAAGGGGAAAGCCATAAGAGCAACTATTGACAAGACTTTGACTTGATACCATACAGTTCGTTATGTCAAATAAAATGTATTATTAACACATATGTATGTTATGTTTCTAGGAAGCCAGCAGGTGGTCCTCCTCTTTCTCAGTCGGCACAGCAACATTCGATCTCACCCGATAAGGGCCGAGCTGATGATCTCCATAGCGACGACGAAGACAACGAGGACACAGAGATCTGTGTTGATGAAAACGACGACGTCACACCTGACGTCAGTTCAGCTATGGAACTAAAGGACATTATGGAAACAGGTAAGAATATTGAACATGTACAATTTTAAGATGCCTAACAAATTTGATACAATATTTTCTTTAAAAACGTTAAATGAATATAGAAGCCAATTGCAGTTACAATGTAATAAAAACGGAACGAAAAGACCATATCACACAACCCTACTATTTTTGTTAGTGCGTGCAATAAAGATTTAACGTTATGTTTTGTGTTTTTTCAGAAAAAGAACGTCATGCTCTAAAGACATCCTCTCCCATCAGCCACCATTCCAGTGACAATGAGGATCGGTCACCGCGCCCTACCCCCCGGGATGAGGTGTTTCGGCCTGACATTTCCTCTAGTCTATCCCCCGTGTCCTCCATCCCAAACCACAACCATTCCGACGTGCTAAATAGCACTCTGAGGAGCAGTCTTGACGGCGGGGACAGCAGTGACGACTCCATTCGGGACGATCGCCGTCTTTCGCCCAAGTCTCCCCATATATCGCACAAATCGGATTCGGACATAACAATACCAAAAGCTCCGAATAGACCACCAAACGTCACAGTTGTTCAACCCTCCGCCACTCACGCAATGTTCCCGTTTATGTATCCATCCGCAGGACTATTCTCATCCTCGTCATCACTTCCGTTTCCATTGGGACATATGTTTTTCAACTCGAGTGGTTCATCACTACCGTTTGCAACTCAGTTACCATTTTTCGCCTCAGGACAAACAGACATGAACAACCTACCTACCAATCACCCACTGTCTCTATCACTCAACGGGCTTACACCACCTCGTGGTCACAATCTACTACAACCCGTGTTCTCAACTGGAAGTTCATCATTACAAGGAAACGGAAGTTTATCGCCCTCTGACGGCCCTAGTCTTGGACCAATTTTCCCTTCTCGTTCTAATCCACGTTTTACACCATACTCACTACCGTCCACAAAAACTACAATGGCCACGTCGACGTCACCGATATCAGCAACCGGACATCCGCTTCGGGACTCTGCCGTCAGCCCCGGAACTGTGTCCCCGCGCATGAACGGAATACCTAGTGCTACATCATCAACAGCGAGAAGTCCCATCTCTCTGAACATTCCATCTGCTTTTGACACAAACAATCACAGTAATGAACTCAGGAATATGGAGCGCATGCTCAGTGGGTTGGAAAGGCATCGTCTCTACGGATTGGCTTCGTCAGAGAAATGACAAATACCAACCAAGGGGCCTACATGGCGCCCCTTCGAGTAACCACGGGTATCTGCCGTCTGTGGCCATCACAAACTTTAACAAAGAAACTGCAGCAATGTTGTACTTTGTGAGTGAATGGCACCACGTGATGAAGGGCGGTGTGTTGTTGTGACGGTAATACGACTCGGTAGTCGGAGATGGACGGTTTACGTCAAAGTGCTTGTTTTAACCGATATAACTATGCAGCAGATGCTGCGTCATCGGTGTGACGTCACGCCGCGATGTAACACTGTCGAGTCATGATTGCGTGTACATGTTTAAGTGTCTGTGATACGTGCCCTGTACAGGGCGCTATAGAACTAAGTCATATACTGTTTGTTGTCACGGTAACACTTAAGACGGTTCCTGTTGATATTGTCAGTGAAGTTTGTTGTTGATGACGTCACGGCTAGTTGTGTGTGTATTTATAAGGACGGTCGGACAGACAGTGGAATGCTCGTGTTGTGTTTACAGGGCGATGTGCAATATTGCGTTCCTCGTGTACTGAGTTAAATAAAATATGTATTTAAATTGAACATATAGCTTCTTGTTTTATTTTCACATTATCTGCAGTTTATTCTTTATAGTAGCGCTGCTAAAGATAACTGTTGATACTTGACTGGAACTATGAAGAGCATACTAGCTAACGTTTATATAATAATTTAAACAAATACGCTTTTAATATTTAGTTATAGTAATATGTATCTCAAGGCATGTGATAGTTTACCGCAAAAAACTGTTAAAACATAATATTCATAAACAATTATCTGGTTGCTATGTTGTGTGGAAAACTGATAAGAAAAAAACATATTCAAATGATAATCTTCAAACAAAAGGTATTTAAGTTTTATTTATTTACAAAATATACTTTGAACAAATATGAGTGACAATTTTTCCTACGGAGAAAAGATGAAATATAAAGATAAACTATTACAATTTAACATGTTCACATGTTCACAAAAATGTTCATATTATGTCAGTCTAATATATTCACATAGTCATAATAGCAGTTTAATGTGTTCACAAAAATCATAATAACAGTCTTTAAGTGTTCACAAAAGTCATAATAACAGTCTAAAGTCTTAACAAAAATCATAATAACAGTCTAAAGTGTTAACAAAAATCATGATAACAGTCTAAAGTGTTCCCAAAAATCATAATAACAGTCTAAAGTGTTCACAAAAATCATAATAACAGTCTAAAGTGTTCCCAAAAATCATAATAACAGTCTAAAGTGTTCACAAAAATCATAATAACAGTCTAACATGATTGTCTACATAATCATAATTACATTCTAGCCTGTTCACTTGATTATAATAACAGTCAAAAAATGTTCACAAAAATCATAATAACAGTCTAAAGTGTTCACAAATATATGAAAACACTGTCACATGTTCAAATATACAAAATAACAATATCATATGTCATTCATGTTCTATTAGAAATCTAGCTACTTTTCCAATTATCAAAGAAATTCATTTAGAAAACATACGTTTTAACATTGAAGTTTATTTGGTTATCTTACAAACCAGGAGTAACAATATGGAGCAAGAGGTAAAACCAAATACTAGTTCAAGTCATCAGTTATATAAGTAACAATAGAGGATAGCACGACAGTGGACACGTGATCTGAGATTGTGTATGTGAAGATATCGTCATGGTAACCTTTACAAGTCTTAAAATTGGATACAGACACACAACATTTGAGAAAGAAAATGCCTAAACTCTATAAAAATGCAAACATGATTGTGCTTACATTATTTTTAATTGTCGGAGTATTATAACAAGAAATACAGACATATTAATACTTGTCCATCAGAATTAGTCGGGTAAATATGCTCCAAATCAAAATATCACCAGAACGTCCAGTCCGAGTTCGACCAAAAAATATATAGAAAAAACACGTGTATTTAAGGAACTGTGACAATGTACGTGTAATACGGCGTCAGTGGACGTGGTTAGTGTCGGCTCATCTGGTCCAGACAATCTATACACTGACAGAAATACAGTCTAACACTACAGGCGACAATATTCATATTTCTACTTTTACAACAGACAAGATACGATATGACATTGTACATATTATGTATTCTTTTGTTGCCATCAAATTATTTTTGCGATCACAAACGTGTAAATCAACGCTGAATTGAATTGAACTCAATCAAGGGATCAAATTGTGTTGAAAGCAATTTGAATATAAAATACAAGTAACTGCAGAAATGTTATCTCTCTCATAATATCAGGTGTTGAGTAAAGGAGAGTCAATATACAAACCATAGAAATGATACTTTTGGTGGTCAAAATTCTAAAAGGATTTCAATATTATCCAGTTGTCAGGAGTTTATGAGTGCTATTGGGTACACACTACTCCTTTATGATAATAAAAAACATCACTGATACGTTTGAAAAGAAATAGTAAATAATGTCAATATAAGTTGTTATTTTACAGCTACAGACAGGAAATTGTAACTAATGTTAATGTAAGTTGTTATTCAATGATAACAGAGAGTAAATTATAAATAATGTTAATAAAGTTGTTATTAAAAGTAACAGAGAGGTAAAATTAAATAATGGTAATAAAGTTGTTATTCTATAGTAACTGAAAGGAAATTGTAAATAATGTTAATTAAGTTGTTTTTCTATAGTAACTGAAAGGAAATTGTAAATAATGTTAATTAAGGTTTTTTTCTATAGTAACTGAAAGGATATTGTAAATAATGTTAATTAAGTTGTTTTTCTATGGTAACTGAAAGGAAATTGTAAATACTGTTAATTAAGTTGTTTTTCTATAGTAACTGAAAGGAAATTGTAAATAATGTTAATTAAGTTTCTATAGTAACTGAAAGGAAATTATAAATAATGTTAATTAAGTTGTTTTTCTATAGTAACTGAAAGGATATTATAAATAATGTTAATAAAGTTGTTTTTCTATAGCAACAGAGAGGAACCTGTATATATTGTTAGGAATTTGTTCCTGTTCAGCATGGCAATAGTGACGGAAAATCCTCGATAATACTGTTGCTGTTTTTATTAATACAAGGATTCTTAGTAGAAATACTAATTTTTGCTGCCGTCTTATTCCAATACAAATAATTTAAGCGATATTCCTTTTAATATGTTACAAATTGGAGCAAGTTTCTAGTAGCTAATAACGAAATATTGCAAACATTTATAGCCAAAATTAAACAGATAAAAACGTGTCGTGTGGGTCACATTTGAGAAAAGATAGAAGCTTCAGTACATTTTCTGGCGGATTAACAGACACATGTAATATGATTACGAAAACATTGACATTGACACATATTGTATCGGTAAATAATTGAAAAACAACTTTGACAACATCAGTGCTAGGATTTCGACTATGTTTCACGCAAAGGATTTAGTAAAACATAGAGAACGCTAAGCATGTCAGTTGGAAATAAGAGAAAGGTGTTATATGTATGGTAACACCTATCAGCTGGATTAGTGCTACGTGCAAAACACGCCCGATACCTGTCTGATGGATTAACACTAGTTAATGAAGGATCAAGAGGAATGTACCTCAGTGTCACTTAATAGACAAAATATACCTCAGCGCCACTAAATAGACAAACTATACCTCAGCCTCACTAAATAGACAAACTCTACCTCAGTCTCACTAAATAGACAAACTATACCCCAGCCTCACTAAATAGACAAACTATACCTCAGCCTCACTAAATAGACAAAATATACCTCAGTGTCAACTCACTAAATAGATAATATGAATTACATCGTCAACTCATCTAAATAGACAATATATACCTCAGTATCAACTCACTAAATAAACAAAATATATCAAAGCGTCAAAGCATCAAAAATACAAAATCAACATCAGCGTCAACTCATCAAATAGACAAAACATACCTTTTTTCAATACTTCAAAAAATCATAACTCAGTTTCAACTCTTCATATAGACAAACTATACCACAGTGTCAATGGCAGCTGCTGCGTTTGTTTCTGCTTGTTATGAAACCAAAATTTTACTTTATGATTTTATTGTATGATTAAAAATTCCTAACAAAGTAAACTTATCATAAATCAAGTAATGATAAATAGCACTGGTGCACTACAAAGATAAGATATACATCTATATCTTCTAAGTATAAGTATGGTTTGCTGATTGCTTTATTGAATCACTTAAATGATCATTTGTTAGCTACACTTTATGAACTGTTTATGTACCATGTAATGAAAAGCTATTTGTTGTTGTAAAATAATTTTCGCGAGTATACATTCTAGTAAAAAACGTAATGTTCACACGAAGCCTGGATTAGTGTTAGTTGTACCTTTAAGCGCTGTAATACTTCTTTACTAAGATGAAGGAAACACATGCCGCATATTTAGCCATATTATTACTTTAATGTTAATGAAATAAGACTCTTTTAATTCAACCATGTTACTATAAGGTTCCTGGTTCGGACTCACTTCGCAAGATAACGACATACTCTAAGGAAACCAAGATTTTAAACGGGTTCACATTCATGTTACACACAAAACAAAATACTTCAAATATCAACGTGTAATGCAAAGGTATAACATATAATATCAAGCATTTTCGTATAGAACAATGGTATAGATATATTTTAACATCCGCATTTGTATACGATTATGTTTGCATGATAGCTATAGGTAATGATTACAACAATAGAATGATGTTGAACATTATCTTTCTTTGTATATATATAATATTGTTTTACTTTGTATATATATAATATTGTTTTACTAATGTATATATATAATATTGTTTTACTTTGTATATATATATTATTGCTTTACTTTGTATATATATAATATTGCTTTACTTTGTATATATATAATATTGTTTTACTTTGTATATTTATAATATTGTTTTATATAGGAAAAGTTCATGAAGCTTGTGCCCAATCCATTTGCTGTATGTACCTTATGACAATACAATACATGTATATATAAGCTAATTTGTTAATGTACAAATGAATATACAAACATGACAATGAAATATTGGAATTTATACGAACTCTTTCACCTGATGTAAACCTCGAGATAAGTGAGTCCATAGTTTGTTATAGATATGACTATTTTATAGATAAGCTTTTATCATTGTTAACATATTGTCCCTCCACCTGGTGTAAATGTAAGTAAGTGCTACAGAATATGAAACTGAAAATGTTGATGACTTATTAGTCGTATTTGTAGGTTTGAGAGGTTTTTTTCAAGACTTTTTTAAGCGCTTTGAGCAACTGACAATATGGCTGACCGCTGCAGACACCAGAACACACCAGTCAAGTTGTAGTTTATTTTTAAAGGTTAACGCTTTCAATCAAATCTAGTAAGATTATAATTTTATTTCTCGCTGATCAATCACTTAGGTTATCACATGGCATTAGAAAGAAAATATTTCAACTTATGATGCAGGTTATGAACATGTTTGAAGCTATAGTTTATCTGGTTCAGCTATTATCTTACTACATATATATATATATTATATTACATTGAATATTCGTATCACTTTATTAAATTTGTGCCAGT